GTTGTACGTTTGGTTCTTGCATTTAGTTCTATGATTCATTTTGAACCAGTTTGCATGTATATTTTGTATTGCTTGTTAAAAAACACTCTCCTTTCCCTGACTGGCTGTCCTTAACTTCTATGATAAAGCACTCTCCTGGGCCTTACTTTCTCCTTGGGGCTTCCATGTACCAGTTTCGTGATTCCCCTTGGTTCTCTTCTAGCTATCATTTTCTCCCTGGTCCTTTCATGACTCTGTCTTTCCATTTCATTTTGGTCATTTGAGGAATTCTTACTCTTAGTTCTCTGTCCCTCACTCAACTGTCTGCAAGGTCTCACTGTCACCCTGGGACTTCCCCCATTGCCTTCCCTGGGTGTTTTTGTTTTCTCTTGGCCTGTTGGCTGAGTTCTAGTGACTCACGTTTCTTCCCGAGTCCCGCCTTCCTTCAGGGAGTGTATTTTTGCTGGCACTTTGCAAGGCCTCTTCCCATCCAGCCTGGCTTCCTGTTGTGGGTCTCGCTTTCCTCTCCCCACAGGTGCCTTCGCTGTCTTCCCTCCTCGGGCGCTTCTGTGGAAGCCAAGGTTGCTTTTGGCTGTCCTTGTGTGTATTTTGAGTCTGCAGATTATCTCTGTCTCCCTGTTTGCTGGAAATGGACTTATTTTCCTTCTTGTTGCCTTTGGAAGCTCTCCAAGAAGGGAAGAAGAAAGTTGCCATCTCAGACCCCAGGCTCCCACCCGGAACCTCAGCAGGGATCTCTTTGTATTTATTCATTATGTAGCCCATTCATTCAGTATCTGAGTCTGAAACTGGCTGTCTTCTAGCCATCCCAGAAAAATTTAAGATGTTTCTCTTTGTGAATTGTGTTAATATTCTGATCCGCCCCCTTGGAATCCTGCCCCTTGGTGCCGTCCTGCATGTAAAAGGAAAAACTCTAAAACAAGCCAGGTATGGGAGCACATGCCTTTACTTCCAGCACCCTAGAGGCAGAGGCAGGTGAATCGCTAGTTTGAGGCCAGCCTGGTCTGCATAGAGAGTTCCAGGACAGCCAGGTTTTCTGTAGAGAGATCCCATCTCCAGATAAATTAACAAACAAACAAAAAAGTAAGAAAAAAAAACTAGCATTATTATACACAAGAAGTATACCCAAAACATAAAGAAACTGAAAAATACTAAAAGAGCCGGAGATGGTTCAGCGTTTAAGAGGGCCTGCTGTGTGAGCAGGAGGGTTGGGATTAATAGTGTAGTTCCCACATAAGAAGCCTGTAACCACATCACTAAGTCGGGGTGGGGACAGGAGGGTCACTGGGCCTTGTCTCACTGGGACAGGCTGGATCACTGAGCCAAGTAAACTAGCTCCAGGGGGCTGGAGAGAAAGAGCTCAATGGTTAAGAGCATTGGATGTTCTTCCAGACGACCAGGCATGTGGATTCCCAGCATGCACAAGGTGGCTCACAACCATCTGTAACTTCGATTTCAGGGGACTGGATGCTCTCTTCTGGCCTCTGCAGGAATCAGACACACATGTGATATACAAACACCCATACACATATAATAAAGTAATTAAAAAGACAAGCTCCAAGTTTTAGGAGAGTCCCTGCCTCAAAAGAGCAGGAAGGGTAAGTAATCTGGCACTCATATTGACATTCTTCTCTGAACTCCCCATACTGTGCACAAATATCACACTCATACATACATTACATAGATCACACTTGCCCCCCCCCACACACATGTATTTATGTGCATGTATTCACACTCTAATCAACAAACCTGCATCTGTGCCAAACGTGCTGATTTTCCTTCTTGTCATTGTCCCCTAAAGAATACAATAAAGAAGTCTGGAGAGATGACTCAGGGGTTAAGAGCACTGGCTGCTCTTCCAGAGGACCCGGGTTCAATTCCCAGCACTCACATGGCAGCTCACAACTGTCTAAAACTCCAGTTCCAGTGGATCTGACACCCTCACACCAATGCACATAAAGTAAAATTAATTATTAAAGAATTAAGAAAAGGGGCTGGAGAGATGGCTCAGAGGTTAAGAACACTGGCTGCTCTTCCAGAGGTTCTGAGTTCAATTCCCAGCACCCATATGGTGGCTCACAACCATCTGTAATGAGATCTGGTGCCCTCTTCTGACCTGCAGGGATACATGCAAACAGAACACTCTATACATAATAAATAAATAAATCTTTTAAAAAAAGAATTAAAAAAAGAATACAGTATAGCAGACTGAGAGCTATTTGCGTAGACTCTGCCTTGCTTGAGGTAATACTAAATACTGTAGAGATTATGTACGTATAGGGGACATGTGGGTAGATTCTATGCAAATGCTACATGTTTTATGTAAGGGAGTTGGTCATCTGTGGATTTTGGTAACAGGGTGTCCTCAGAACCAGTTCCTCAATAGTCCCAAGAGATGGATGACTACCCTAAGTTGTGTATGCCTTCTACTGTGGAGCGCTCTTCAGCCTGTTCCAACTTCGGGCCATTCCAGTCGGAGCTGCTTCAAGCCCTCCTCACACCCCTCTTAGCGTCTCCCTGTAGGGTGTTTACAACTGAAATTGCTGGGTTAGGAATGTGTGTGCTGTTTCTAAACTGTCCATTTTCTCTCCACGTTGTGGGAATTCTTTGAGGTCTGGCTCAGATTTCATTCTCCGGGGAGATTTGCCTGCCCCTTACTCCAGGGACCCGGGCCACTGCTGGGGGACCACTTCTCAATTGCTTGCTTGGCACCCCTCAGACTTCGCCAGTAGCATGCTTCCGCACGCTGAGCTGCGCCCTGTGTCTTGGGGAAGGTTTTCTTCCCCCTCCATCTAGAGCCACAGTGGAGAGAGGCAGGTGTCCTCACTGTCACATTCCGGGTAATAGGTCATCTTGTATTCACCCTGGCCCCGAGAGCAGAGGTTTGGGGGTACCTGCTTTTTATTCTAGGTCTGCTGTTACCTTGTCCAAATAAACTGGGTGACTTAACAACTCTGGGGTGACAAGATGTCTCAATGGGCAAAAAGTGATCGATCCCCAGAACTTATGTGGTGAGGGGAGAGAGCTGACTCCTGAAGTTGCCCTCTGACCTCCACACACATGTTGTGGCGTGTGCACGCCTACACTCTCATAAACAAATTCATGCATACATGTGTAATGAAACTCAAAATAAGACGATAGGAGGGTGGAAGTTGGAAATGAGGGAGTCAGGATTGATGCCCTGGGAGCGTGCTGAGGGCAAACCTTGGTATTCTTCATCTAGCAGACCAATCTCTGTCTTTAGCTTCCCTCGGCTCCCTGTGGTGCTGGGTCTTCACGTGGGCACCATCTTTCTGTCTCCCAGTCATATTAGCTTAAGGGGACATCCCACTCCACAATGAATGACTTCGTCTTGACTAATTACATCGCCAGTGACTCCATTTCCAAGTTAGATGGTATATTGAGGCAGCAAGGTTAGGACCTCAGCGTATCTTTCAGGAGTCACAGGACATGGGGTGTCCTTCAGACTGCCCACATTGGGTAGTACCCAGCCTTCTGTCCTACTCTGGGCCTGAACTTACCAAAGAAGAAGCACAGCTCTTTCAAGATTTGAGCACTAACCTCACAGGTTCTCTGCTGCTTAGACATGTGGGGCGTTTGTGGTTTTGTTCCTTTGAGGCCGACACAGCAGGATATTGCAGAACAAAAGTATCCTGTAGGGGAGATGACTCTCACTGCTCTTCCATAGGACCTGAGTTCAGTTCCCACCACCCACATCAGCACCCACCTGGTTTTCCTACCTGTAAACCAGAGGTTTTGAAAAGCCACATGACACACAGAACACAATACGTCCCCAATAGAAACCAGCTGTGTTCACCAAGTACTCATCCCGGGCTCGGGCTGGAGGGCCCACTTGGTGTGGTTAGCAGATCCTTGAGAACCAAAGTGGCCCAGGAGCAATCCTTTAGGAGGATACTGTGATTAGGACCTTCTAGGTATGGTCCCTCCGATGTCCACCCCCACCCCCATGTCTCTGTGTCTCAGGGACTATCTACCATTATGTGCCCTGGTACAACACGAAGCCTGTGGCGACGGTGACCTCCCAGTGGGAGGATGTCAGCTTCCGGATGAATTGCCTCAACCTCCTCCACATCACCCGGGATCACCTGGTGAGTGGGCAGGAGGGAGCTGGGGTGGATGGGAGGCTTGGGAACATACACCACGGTACCAGGAAACCAGTCACACCATGATATCGGGACCCCACATCATTGAGAACTGTGCCAGATACAGCACTGGCCACTAAGGACTCAAAGGTGAATAAACACATACTTGTCCTCACTGGCTGACGAAGTCAGAGATGTACAGTTACGGTGCAATGCAACTAGGGTTGCCATGGAAATACAGGTGCCAAGAGACTTAGGATCAGAGAGATGGGGAGGGGGAGGGGGAGAGAGAGCAGTCAGGAGGTGACAGGGCAGCGGGGGTTCGAGAAATTCATAGGCAGTTTTGGGGGATGGATGCACAAAAGGAGTAATATGTGTAAAGTCACGGTGATGTGCCAGTTTTTTTTTAAGTCATGAAAGGAACTAGGGCCGTAAAGGTAACATGGGAATCCGAGAGGCTGGGAAGGGTCACATCACAGAGTCTTAGGTTCTTGTCAAGCAGCATAGGTCTCAGAAGATGTTTTTATACGTAGCATCTCTACCCCAGTCACGACTTTCTCATGTCTTCAGATGGGCTTCTGCATGTCTCCATTGCCGGCCACCCGTTTTCTCTGCTGGGTACAGGAAGTAGGGAGAAAGGGTGTCCTAGCTTAGCTGGCCATGTGGTGGTTTGACATGAACACCACCAGGTTACTCCTTAACCGTCTCCAGGGTCTGTCAGTCCTTCAGCCTATCCCAGGAGGGCTCCAGGCTGAGTCTGGTTCTCTCCCTTCTTCTCAATGGACAGAAAGCCAACCTGGACACCCTCAAGTCCATTCGGAATCCGAAGGATCCAGCTCTGCTCCAACAGTGGGAGAAGCTGCTGAGGGAGCTGATAGAGGACTGCAGGTAGGAGCTGGGGACCCGGGCTGGGGGTGGGCTTTGGATGAGCTAGGGGAGGCTCGAAAGAGAAACTGGAAGCTCTGAGTAGCACCCGATGGACCCCTACCCCAAAAGGAACACAGCTCCAACGTCAGCCTACACAAAGCTGCTTTTCCCTGCCCACGTAGAACAGCCCTGAACTCCAGTTCAGCACAGGCTTTGTTGCCCCATGTCCACACTCAGTGCCTGCAGCAGCATATGGGCAGATCTGCATCGCCTACACCAGCCCACACTGTTCTCACCCCAACATCTCTCACCATTGCTTACCCCATCCAGAGCGCCCGTTTCAAGCTCATGGGAAAGCTTCCCCCTGCCCCCCACCCACCAGATTTTGGTTAGCCTCTTCCATGGAAAACATCTACCCATAAGAGGTCTTTGGGAACCAACCTAGCACACTGCAGGGCTTCAAGGATGGAAGAGGGCTGGGTGAGAGAGCCTGCTTCGGGCCCACAGCAAGCCAGCTTCCTAGGGAGAGCTGGGCAGGTCTCTCCATGTCAGACTAGCCATGGGTAGGGTCGAGTCTCCAGGCTAGAAAGGGAACACTGGCCTGCAGTGGGACCAGAAATAGACACACCCTTCCTATTAACTTGTCCCGGCCACAGGCGCCCTCTGCCTTGTATGACTGCTCAGCCCAAAGCTAACAACTTGGACAAGAATAAATGGCAGCTTCGCAACCATCTTCTACGCCAACTAGCACAGAGGGCCTCAGAAGCCAAGCCAAGGAAGATGGTGGTCACGGCAGAGGATTGGCTGCGTCGTCTCAATGCTGTGATCCCCGAGGTGGGCACTGGACACACTGGCTGGACAGTGAGGCCTGGCGCTGGCCCGATGGTCCTGACGCTCTCCCACCTTGGCAGCCCCAGGAAAGCCTGCCTGATGTGATGATCTGGCTGACGTCTAAGCAACAGCGAGTGGCCTATGCCCGGGTGCCTGCCCATACTGTCCTGTTCTCCCCAGCAGGACCCCTGAGCTCTGGCAAGTTCTGTGGGAAGATTCAGAACCTCTTCTTACAGGTGGGGAAGGAGGAGCATCTTTTGGGAGAGATGGGGTTCCCAAATTCCCAGAGAGAACCCCTGGGATTGTGTGAAAGTCCCATGGGACCTCCCTGAAGGCATGGCCCATGTGCTACTTCCCTGGCCCTGCATTAAGTAGAACTTAGTCAAAGTCCCCAGAGGAAGGCAGGGTCCTGCACTTCTCAGCATGTGAGCCATGGTAAATGCTCCTCAAAGCCTCCACATCCTCCATCACTCCCATGCCTCCCATGTGGTCTAATACCTTGTCATCTCTCCTGTGAACCACAATTGGATAACTTCCAGAATATTCAGTGACTGTAGGATTTGGTACCAGCTCCTCAGATCAGAAGTAAGCTATACCATTAGACTGACTGAACCCCCAATGATGGCCTTCTCTCTTGGAGAGAAGGGGGGTCCTCATAGCCCCTTCATGGCTCCCATTGCCACTCAGGGAAGATTCAACTTCCCTGGCCTGCCCTAGCCACCTGCGTCAACCCTGTCAACAGATAGGCCACCCTGGGCCTCCCCATCCCAAATACGCCTACACCCTGCCCTTTCCACCATCATGCAAAGCCCTTCTTCCCGTCTTTGTCCAGTGCCTGACTGCATCCCGGCCTTCCGTGTGTCACTCACTCCCGTGCTTGGTGACGCCCTCACGTGGGGTATGAGGACTGAGGTGCTTAGCAAAGTGCTGGTGCCCAGTGATCAGGCAGCAGGCCGTGATTCGTTAGCTAGTATCACCCAAACCACCGTTCTCCCCTTCCTCTGGCTCCCCAGGCAGCCTCGCCCACCTTCTGCACCGCTCCTTTTTTCTATTTGCCCGTTGTCACCCTCTGGGAACAGCAGGGCAGAACTCGGTCACTTCTCAGTGCTGGTGATCAGCCCGGAGCTTTATACCCTTGTAGACTTTCTGACTCCAGCACACAGTTTGATGTGAGGGCCCTGCTCCCACAGCTCAGGCAAAAAGGGGTGGATGTGACCCATTCTGGCAATGCGTGCCCCCTCGCTTCCCCTCTCCCTCACCTATGAGGTGGTACCCCCATGGCACACCCATGGGACTGATCTGCCTCTGGATCAGTACCCAGAAGGTGAAGGAGAGAACACGCTCCCAGCTCACCTCCGGGTCTGCATGTGGCTTGGCAATGTCGTACACAGCAAGAATCTGAAGCTGCTCCAACAAGGCAACATGGTGGTGTATGCGGAGACGGTGAGTGGGCGGGAGGCATTCATGCACGTACGCACGCACGCACGCACGCACGCACGCAGGCATAGCATTTGGAGGGTGCCATGGGTCAGCCAGGTCAGAGCCAAGCCAGGGAAGTCAGGCGTATGCAGTTCAGGAAGAGAAAGTGAAGAGACAATTGTTCAGACCCAGAGGCAGAGGAGGACACTGACCACATCTGACAACCCTGAGAGACAACAGCAATGAAAGCCATTGAGGACGGTGCTAGCCTGGCATCCCTGCTCACGAGCCACAGGCCCATGCTAACAAAATGGGGTCTAAGTGGCCCTCTGGTCCCTGGTCACACTGTTCCTGGTGGCAGTTTATTGAGAGCTTTCTCCAAGCTTTGCTCAAGGCATGTGAATAGATCAGGGCTCCAAATTGCAAAACTTCTCAGTTTTTGTCACCAACAGGCAGCTTGGGACCCCTGAAGACCCTTTCCAGACCTTTGGGCCAGACTGAAGGTCATGGGAGGTGGGGAAAGGTCAGGGAGTGTGGAAGGAGCAGGAGATGAGACTTCTGCCCACAGAACGGCAACCTGGGATGAAGGGGGAACATCTGGGCAGACGGCTCTGCAGAGGGCAAGGGATGACCTTTGCTCTGTGGAGAGGGGGCTGGCCCAGGAAAACAGCTCAGCAGAAGGGAAGTAAGGTTTGAGTGTCGGGCTATTGTGTGACCCTTTCTGGGGAGATGTGAGCAAATGTCTGCCCACCTCAGATAGATGGCCCATGACAGAGCAAAGAAACAGTTCCATCCAGCTTGGGGAACCAGTGAGTTTAACTGGGGTTACTTACAGAAGCATGTGCAATGTATGGATGTCTACCCCTCTGGAGAAGTCTTCCTCCCAGCAATGTTAACTGCTTATATATTGGGGAGGAGAGGAGCCCATGAGCCTTGTAAGCTGCTCATGGACTCGAAAGGAGGAACGTGTGACCACATCTTGCAAAGGCCTCCTATGGGTAGTCACAGCTGACCTGATTTCAGGACAACCGCAATGGCCGTGTCAAGTCTGGAAGACAGAATTCCACAACATAGGCCTTTTATGTTACAAAATTGTAACTTTTGTAGTTGGTTGACACGTGGGTGTAATCTCAGCATTTGGGAGGCTTAAGCAGGAGAAGTACAGAGAATTCAAGGCTGACCTCGGCTCCATAAAGAGTACCAGGCTAGTCAGAGCTATTTCAAAACAGAAAAAAAAATGCATTTATAACTTTGTTATTTTTTGTTGTTGTTGTTGTTTGTTTTTCAAGTCAGGGTTTCTCCATGTAGTTTTGGTCCCTGTCCTGGATCTCATTCTGTAGACCAGGCTGGCCTCGAACTCACAGAGATTAGCCTGGCTCTGCCTACTGAGCATTGGGATTAAAGCCATGCACCACTGCCACCTGGCCATTATGTTTTAAGTTGCATGTGTTGATAACATACCATAATACAGTCAGCTCCCCATTCAACGGTATCTCCATTCATGTACTGAGCCAACTGTGGCTTGAAAATGCAGTTAAGTTTATGATGGCCGCGTCTACACCAAACATGTACATACCTTTTTCCTTGTCACTCTGACCTCAGCAATACACCAGCAGAATGCTGACATGGCATTGACATTGTATTAGGTTTTATGTCATCTAGAGATGATTTAAAGTATATGTTGTACACAGATGCTAGGCCACTTTACAATGTTAGGGGCTCGAGAGTGGATTGTGGTACCCAGGGACATTCTGGAACCAATCCCCTGAGGTTAGTCAAGGGACAGCTGTGTCTAACCAACCCTGCATGAGGCAGGGACAGAGAAGAGATGGAGGGACTGATAGGAGAAATAAGACATGGAAGTAGCACAGAGGGTACATGTGTAGCAAGACTGGATTTCTCAGGTCTGCAGTGACTAGGGAGTAGGCAGGTCACATCAAAGATACAGGCTTTACCTTGGGCACCACCCCACTCTTCGGCCAGCTGTGCAACGCCAGGCAGTGTTGACTGCCGAGCCTCTGTCTCCTCGGTACAGTTGGGACGTGGCCCTGTCTTGCTTGGTTACTACATTTCTAAAGGTTGGGGAGCAGGAGTCTCAGTACCCCCAGGACCAGGTGGTTGGTGGAAGAGGTCTGGGCACTGACTGGGACTCCCCTCCCCCAGTATGAAAATCAGGCCAAGTACAAAGACCAGTGGGGAGAACAAGGACTGTACTACTGCCCCACCTTCTCAGATGTCATGGGACACAAGGCCGTCCCCAAGTCAGATTTCAAGGCTCCTGTGGGGTGGCATTGGCAGGGCGACTGGATTGTGGAGCCTCAGAGGAGGTAAGGAAGATGCGAGCCCTGGCCTGGCACCTGGGATGTCCTAC